GATTGAGAAGATGATGAGCTGCACCCCAGAGACACAGAGGTATGCACCCAAAGATCAACCAGACTGTTGTTCCCACTGTGACGTTGCTGCCATTGTGCCTGCCAACTTATCATTCCTCGCGTGTGTACCAGTGATGCCCCCAAGACATGTAGTTAATGAGGCATTTCACAAGACCAGTAGTAAAGCTGTAAATGAAGCTGGATTGTAATGATAGTACAGTAGTGGATATGACCAAGCATTTGTAGAGCATTTAAGAAACTTGAACATGGGTTTTTGTTCATGGTGACTGTTGGAAACCTGGAAGACAGTTTGGGAATGCCAAAAGACAAAATGAATGTTGCTTCTTTTACATCAAAAGCAGTTCAAAGTACATATAGATGTAACAGGAGAAGACACGGCATTATGATGCATCTTACTTGAACAGCATGATTACTATCAGCTTTGGAAAACAAGACTTATCAGTCTATACATGCAGTTTATGAAACACATTTTAAATTGCGAAATGTGAGCAGTAATTATCATAACAGTGAATAGAAATCACAGTAGTTATGATTAAAACATCTTAGAACAAACTGAAAATAGTAAGCCTTTATTTTGTTACTGAGAAAGAAGGTTGACATTATTAGTTGATTCAGTTTGTACACAAAAAATTACATGAAACTCATGGTAATAAAGTGAATTTCATATCATTCTTCCCGTTACACTGACACCATTGATATCAAACAAACAAACTTTTAATTAATTGCTGTATTACACTGACTTTTTATATGGCTTTAAAACATAAATTCCATATTTAATACAATGTACTTGTTATGATATTTCTTTATCTGGATCTTTATCTGTATCACTGAAGATACACAAGCAACATTGAGAAATACTTACATTTGATGCTGACACATGTAGCAGTCTCATATGGATTATGCTACATGTGCAAATATTACTCATGAGAACTATGGTACTCCAGATAAACACTGTTCTTGGTACACCCATATGAAACCTCTTCTAGTGTATTTACTTTCTGTCAGCAGTAGGGGATTATCATAGCAATATTTGTTTTTATTATTTAGAATGGAAACTTTTTACATTCCACACATAGTGGCAGAGATGTATCTAAACTAAGCACAATAATACTCATATATCTTCTACTTGTACTTAACAAATGCTTATAGCTGTAGCTGACGTAGATAACATGGAGACAATATTACTGTCTTTTCTAAACTCACAAACAAGCATTTATTTCTTTAGTAGCATAGTATTAACAATGAAACTGTTGTATAATTTTCATGTTTATTTAATTGTTTTACTTATTACCCAGTGAGAACACAAGTAGTTTCTAATTATTGCAAAATATGAAGATGCAAGAAATTGCACCACTTTTTGTGCTTCCTAATGGTCTGCTAAAATGGGTTTTTGCAGTTTCATCCACCTCCTCACTGTAACCTGTTGTTAGGTTTGTGTAGTACCACAACCATGCACTTTTTTATCCAGGTATATTACAAGTCCTATTAGCTGTATTATCAAGTCAAAAATGCTCCTTCAATAAACAAGATTTTTTATATTAATTTGTTTAAAATTAGTAGTTAGCAATTTACTTTATTCTGTTAAAATATTTGGAATACATCAATGTGTCTGTCTATGACTGTTTTTGTATTTATTCAATTTTTTATTTCATATATACTTTATTAGTATATAGAACATTTGTTTACATTATTTTTATATTTCTTCACTATCAAACCAGATGGGTTTTAGATATGTTTAAAAGTCCCTATTAAAAAGTTTTATTTTTTCATAGTTCACTTTCAATAAGCATTTTCTTTTCTGTACCAGGCCAGATGACTGGAATTGTACTTCATAGACTTAAGCACTATTTTCAGATATTTTTTTAAAGGTTAATGACACTGACAATAATGGTAATTCATTCTAAATTTTGAATTTCAGTTATAGGTTTCAGTTAGCTTATTGAAATCTTCTCCCCCCCCCCCTCTCTCTCTCTCTCTCTCTCTCTCTCTCTCTCTCTCTCTCTCTCTCTCTCTCTCTCTCTCTCTCTCTCTCTCCCTCTCCCTCCCCCTCTCCCTCTCCCTCTCCCTCTCCCTCCCCCTCTCCCTCCCTCCCTCCCTCCCTCCCTTCTCTCTCTCTCTCCCTCCCTCCCTCCCTCCCTCCCTCCCTCCCTCCCTCCCTCCTCTCTCTCTCTCTCTCTCTCTCTCTCTCTCTCTCTCTCTCTCTCTCTCTCTCTCTCTCTCTCTCTCTCTCTCTCTCTCTCCCTCTCCTTTTCCTCTCTCTCTCTCTCTCTCTCTCTCTCTCTCTCTCTCTCTCTCTCTCTCTCTCTCTCTCTCTCTCTCTCTCTCTCTCTCTCTCTCTCTCTCCTTTTCCTCTCTCTCTCTCTCTGTCTCTCTCTCTCTCTCTCTCTCTCTCTCTCTCTCTCTCCTTTTCCTCTCTCTCTCTTTCTCCTTTTCCTCTCTCTCTCTTTCTCCTTTTCCTCTCTCTCTCTCTCCTTTTCCTCTCTCTCTCTCTCTCTCTCTCTCTCTCTCTCTCTCTCTCTCTCTCTCTCTCTCTCTCTCTCTCTCTCTCTCTCTCTCTCTCTCTCTCTCTCTCTCTTCTCTCTCTCTCTCTCTCTCTCTCTCTCTCTCTCTCTCTCTCCTCTCTCTCTCTCTCTCTCTCTCTCTCTCTCTCTCTCTCTCTCTCTCTCTCCTCCTTTTCCTCTCTCTTCTCTCTCTCTTCCTCTCTCTCTCTCTCTCTCTCTCTCTCTCTCTCTCTCTCTCTCTCTCTCTCTCTCTCTCTCTCTCTCTCTCTCTCTCTCTCTCCTCCTTTTCCACTCTCTCTCTCTCTCTCTCTCTCTCTCTCTCTCTCTCTCTCTCTCTCTCTCTCTCTCTCTCTCTCTCTCTCTCTCTCTCTCTCTCTCTCTCCTTTTCCTCTCACTCACTCACTCACTCTCTCACTCTGAAATGTGGGTAAACTTGAAGGTAAAAAAAGTATATACATAGATCAAGACAATATTGTGTGTTTATATTAAATCACATAAGACCAATCATGTAACTTAATTTAGTACCACCCCAACTACTTAAACTGTTCTTTCCATCAAAGTTTAAATGCAGTTACAGCAATTAACAAGATGGAGGTTATGCTTACCAATGTAATAGGAATAGCTATTTATCCTTGCAATGTGCCAAACTTCTTGTACCTGAGAAAGACCATGACAAGCAAGGACATTTCACTTTTGAATGTTAGACGAAGTTCAGACATTGAACTTCATTACTGCCCGACATAAAAGGGCTGGATTTGCATGCATGGACCACAGAGGAAGAGACTTTAAGCATCCTTGTTCACTAGTTGTTGTAGTACTACGTGGATCTGACTGTCAAAAAAGAGTGTGGGGCTTTTTTCCTCTTCATGACTTTTTTTTACACAGGAATTGCTTGTTTTTGAGTTAGTCATAAGAATGGCATTAAAATTCATTAGACATAACAAGGCATTAGATATTAGAATCAACATTGAAGATAGTTTGATTGATACTCCGGTAAACTTTTTAAACATTCTGCACATTTTGGCCCAGGAAGGACAGGGAAATCAGTAAAGTAATTCTTGTTAGCAAGTTAGGCAAGCATATTGTCTGTCGCAGAGCAATATCAGGCTCAACATAACATGCCTCGTGTCCATGGAAGATAGTTGATATTGGGATGGTTACTGATTTTGTATTTGGTTTGTCATCTTGATTAAAGCGATTTACCTCGCTCTCTCTCTCTCTCTCTCTCTCTCTCTCTCTCTCTCTCTCTCTCTCTCTCTCTCTCTCTCTCTCTCTCTCTCTCTCTCTCTCTCTCTCTCTCTCTCTCTCTCTTTCTTTCTCTCTCTCTCTCTCTCTTTCTTTCTCTCTCTCTCTCTCTTTCTTTCTTTCTCTCTCTCTCTTCTTTCTTTCTCTCTCTCTCTCTTTCTCTCTCTCTCTCTCTCTCTCTCTCTCTCTCTCTCTCTCTCTCTCTCTCTCTCTCTCTCTCTCTCTCTCTCTCTCTCTCTCTCTCTCTCTCTCTCTCTCTTCTCTCTCTCTCTCTCTCTCTCTCTCTCTCTCTCTCTCTCTCTCTCTCTCTCTCTCTCTCTCTCTCTCTCTTTCTCTCTCTCTCTCTCTCTCTCTCTCTCTCTCTCTCTCTCTCTCTCTCTCTCTCTCTCTCTCTCTCTCTCTCTCTCTCCCCTTCTCTCCTTCCCCCCCTTACACTCATTCATTCCCTCCCTCACTCATTCATTTACTCTCTTACTCCCTTATTTACTCCTTCACTCACTCATTCACTCATTGACTCCCTCACTCTGTCTCTCCTTCTTGCTCCATCTCTCTCCTTCTCACTCCCTTTCCCATTCCCATTCCCATTCCCATTCCCATTCCCTCTTCCTCTCACCCCTCCCCCCTTTTCTTCCAATTTGATAACATGCATATATACGTATACACAAGTTACATCTAATTTATGATGTCCTTAGTTCCCTTAGTTTATGGTGTCCTTAGTTCCCTTAGCAAATATAATCCAATATTAGTAAATGTAAAGCATGATTTATTTCTGGTGTAGACTATGCTGATGAGCAGACTGAACGGAGTATTTTTATCATTTGATTCATAAGATAATGGGACAATGTGTAATATGTGATTTGCAGTGTAGGTGATGGTGAAAAATCCTTTGTGGTTTGTCTTGGCATTGTGTTAGAATTTACAGTATGTGTTTGTTAATAAAAGTGTAGGTGATTAATAACAAAAGAATGATGTTTATGATATGGTTATGGTGTTGTGATTCTAAAGTGATTTGAAATTGTATGAGATTAGCAATATTTTGTTTGATTAGTTTTATGTATATATAATCATCAGTCACATAGTAGTAAATGTTAAACATAAAGAGGAGGAATATAAGTAGTGATTAAGAGTATAGCTGCTGTGGGTTTATATACAGTGTAAGGCTCCTAATTTGATTAAGAAATACACATTTTCTCTGTTTTTCATTTCTTTTCTGATGTAAAGTAGAACAAGTAGGTTTGTGATACATTGTAAGGCTTTGGTGTAAGTGTACAATTTTCACTATGATTTTGTTGTCTATGATCATTGTGCAAACATATACAAAACTAATAGAATAAGAACTTCAGATATATGATACTACACTAGCTATCTACACAGTGTTGATATCTTCTTGGTTACTATTAATTTTTCGTAACGAAATTCATTTATCAATTCCAGGAAACAAGTTGGCAAAACAGAAGGGCGGTCTTGCTGCAAGACAGACAAGAAACCCACTGTTGCCGAATTTACAGGTCGTTCAAAGAGTGAAAAGGGTTGCAAGGTATGTGTCTTTACTGAAAGAAATATTTTTCTCCAAATTGTTATTGTTTTCATTCTAGCAAATATTATACCATATTGCCTTAACATTTTCACAAAAAAAAAAAAAAAAAAATGTAATAGCCATAATATACAACAAAGCACAGGTAACCAGAATGAATGGCTGATATTCTCTTGTGCTTTTATAGAATTCCAAAATGACACCAGAGGCCAGAAAGCAGAGCAACAGTGCCAATAGCTTAAGTAGTTGTCAGACATTTGAAGTAAAAGAAGAAACTGAGGTTAAGGAAGAAAAAGTAAGTGTTGAATACATGCTTGAATCATATTTGAACATTTTTGCATGCGTGTGTGTATTTTTTTTATGTGTACTTATTTATATTTTCTGAGTGTATATGAACTTGTACATGTAACTGCGTATTGGTACATATATCTGTAAATGTATGAGATGTTTATACATTCACCAAATATATTTTTGTGATTTATTAATATAATTTTTCAATCTACAGGACGATGTAAGTGAGGCTGGTACATACACTATTGAAAAGGATTCACCATCACCAGAAGTAGAACAGGCAAGAAATGACATTGACCGAGTCTTTGGTGTGTCAGGGCCAGAGAGTGAAGCTGATGCCACGCCAGCTACACCTCGAGGAAACATTGTCTCAGAGGAATCCTGGACCACTAGCTCCGATGCTGAGAAATTCAAGGTTGTTTGTTTTCATTTGTGTATAGATTTGGAGTACTTTTATTTGTTCTGTGTCTGATTTCGAATTTCTATTGATATATATGTATTATATAAATTTCTTCTTTGTCTCCTTTTCGTGGAAGCTGTAGGTGAACATTTTACAGTTGATTAGATAATTTTTTATTTTATTACTCCATTTGTGACTTATTGTGATGTAATAGCTTGTTCCGAATTATAGCAAATGATATAATTATATCATATGTATCATATCTCTACCTCAGAGTCCAAGCAGCATCAGCCGCAGCAGTCCCAACTGGATCCAGCAGTGGGCAGCACAGGTTGCAGAACACACTAAATCCCCTGACAACTCTGTCAAGAACTCCTTAGGATCTCCTCGTGGCCACAAACCCCCTCTGGCTTCTCTCTCGTCCTCCCAGGAGAGCAGCGACTCGCGGCCCAGACGGAAACTTCCCACGCTGCCCACGCACCACACGCCCTTCTCCGTGACCTCTCCCAGGGCATCCGATATGTCAGATCACGAGAGTCCCACCAAAGGCCGGGTAAGCAGACTTTTGGCTTTTGTGAATGTGCCATCTTTGAGGATTCGTGCCTTTGAAGTGACTGATAGCTTTTGTCTTCTCTTCTCTCTGGATCAAACATGTAGATTGTATTATACAGTGTTAATAAATATCTTCAGTCTTTCTTACTTCATGTTTTGGTATAGGTATAAGTAGCTTGACAGGTCTTAATGCATTTGGATCTGTTATTCTTTCAAATAACTTTTGTATCAGTATCCTTGTATTTATTGAACTTGGCTTCTTTCAGCAACAGTTGTAATTAACCAGCTGCCATCTTAACTGTGTGATTTCTTCTGACTGCTGCTGCTTAGACTAGCAGTAATCTATATCTATTACTATGAATATTTTTAAAAATCTCTTCAGGATCTTCTATATCATTCTGAGGTAGTATTTTTGTGGTTTTGCCAGTAATGAGAATGATGACAACATTTACCCCTTGCTGACGGGCATGACATGTATGTGCATTCCATGCCCACTGTGAGTCGACTTGTTTGATTGGTTTATCACATAGATGGCTACACTTGTAGTAAGTCACCAGTGAGCCAATTACGAGTACTGCCTGTCTCGCCAGTTCACCCTTTTCATTGATTTATGAAAATATTTAACATTATCCTATTTTGCTGTTAAAAATAACACCATCTATATTCATAGCACTAGTAAGCATACGTTTTTTCCCGCCAATTCAAGGAAAGGTGAAATCAGGACTAGCAGAGGCATCTATGTACAGAGACATTTCACAAAAATGTAAGAAATGAGTACAGCATTTTCCCCATTTTTTATTCATTTTCCCCCGCAGCAATGGGTTAAGGCCTTAAACCTCTAAATGTTTATATAAAAAGGTAATGATTTTTTTTTTTTTTTTTTTTTTTTTTTTTTTTTTTTAATAGAATCTATTATTTTGACAGACTAAGTGTGTCACCTCTATCTGGCAATGCCACAATGTATTACTCTAATGGGAAAATACTACATTTCCAAGGATGAATGATATGCTTTTTAAACCTTTCCTATGGTACACAATCTTTTGTGATGTCATTCCTCCAACCATAAGATTCCATTTACGATTATATGAACATCCCTTATCAGAAACCATCTTCAGTACATTAAGTCTGTGAGCCCATCAACAAGTCCCTAGTATTTCTGTGTATTTCTTTTAGAGTAATTTTGACTTTTGATCTTTCAGAAGTCTTTGCAGTCCAGAATTTTCCCCAGGGCTGTTGAATGAACCATCAAGATTTAGTTTAAATAGTCCTGACTAATATCTCTCCTTGTTCACATTTTTCTCCTTTGTCTTCTTATATATATATATATATATATATATATATATATATATATATATATATATATATATATATATATATATATATATATATATATACACATATATATATACACATATATATATATATATATATATACATATATATATATATATTATATATATATATATAGATATATATATATATAATATATATATATATAATATATATATATATATTATATATATATATATATATAGATATATATATATATAGATATATATATATATATTATATATATATATATAGATATATATATATATA